AGTTCACGTTGGGTGAAACACAACGACAGTGCCAGGTCTTTTGACTGATGTAACTCAGTGAAGATATTTGGATTTACATTTGCCCCTTGCCTGAGACACAGGCACGATTCTGGGTTTGTTTATATGTTATTGCTAGGCCTTCTTTTACCCCTGCATTTTCTTCTTTCTCTTTAAAATGCTTGCTACTCTATTCCTTGTCCTCTGCATCTGGGATCTAATAATCCGCCTGGAACATCAGGACCAATACGTATCCTTAATAGACAAAATGTTGGGAAATCCGCTTAAAAAGAACTTGTGAGCTGTGTAACAACATTGTTTCCTTCTCCCTGCCTAGATGGGAAAACACAATATTAAGACAAACACACTCCAGGCTTGATTATTCCATCAGGGCTGTAACTTAGTTTTTAGAGCAATGCCTAACAGCACAGATTTGCTCCCATCTATCCAGGGAAATGTAGGCTGCCACAACACGATTAAATTGTAGCCATCTTGCATGGGGTGCCCTGTCCCCACTATAATTGTACTGCGCACTGGCCATCAGTTATCCTCACGTACTTTACTTAAATTAGTCTGAAACGGAGTCTGTCTCCAGCCTGGAGCCTGTTTGTAACTGCAAAGGAATCTGTGCCCTCCGCAACACACGAGACGGGATCAGGTCGCTGCTGGAGAGCACTTGGCCTGGCTATTTTTATTGTCTGGCTGAATACTTTTCTTCAATGCCATTTTAAGTGTCGAAAGAATAGTAAAGATGAGATTTTTTTAAAAAAAAAAAAGATACACTGATAATCCATAGAAACTGTGTCCTTTTAACTTATGAATGTTTCTCAAATCTCTGCCCTTGTTGCCAGGATGCTGAAGGCATTCTGAAGTTACAACATGATGAAATCTAACCAGGGTGAAGTGGGCTGGTTTCATTTTCATCAGATTCCTCTTTCAAAGGCACAAATTTACGCTTCTGATCCTTCTCCCTACCACTAGAACTGAGCCGATACAGTAGTCACTGCTACATCAAAAAACCCCACCCACTCTTCCATCAAGAACAACTGATGATTTAAATTCTTCATGTTTCTTCAACCCCAAAGGACAGTGACACTAATTCAAGCACTGGCACAACTAGAATGTAAAGGATTAGAGAAGTGGCTCTCATCTGAATACAGGCAAGCATGTATCACATCAGGGTTAGCCAAGCTTTTCACTCAAGTTAAATTTGGTAGCAACCCTCCTAAATCACCGCTTTCAAGCATACAGTCTTTTCTTATGTGTCTGTTCTTTACGCTTTGCTATCACAAAGAGCTTTAGATATTTATATCCTCTTGCAACTTTGGGTTCTTTGGCATGAATCATCTATTCTCAACAGCGCACTTGCTGAGAAAAGGGAAATACTTGCAAAGACGAACATGCTAATCGACAGTTTGCACCCTTCTCAGTCTCCCCCGCAGCACAGATGACCCTTGGGGAATATCCCTGTTGCATCCACAAGAGAGAAGTAGCTGCAGTGACAGGAGAAGGGTGACCCACCCTCTGCTTGATTGCCACTGTCAAAATGAGGGATGGTGCCATCCTGGAGGCTGTCAGACAGGATGGCTGAGACGGTGGGAGGCTGTGAAATCCTACTTTTGGAGTGGACTCAGGGCTTGTCTAAAACTGGTACAAGAATTAGGGAAACACTGTCATTGTCCCTGCTCTGGTTTACAGGAGTTTAGCTGAGCTCTAGGTATTGTTCATTCAAGGCAACATGCTTTATCCCCACTGTGCAGCTTGCTTGTGTGCCTGGTGATATAAAGGTAGTCTTTGTGTGGCAAGACTCAAGACTCCCAACTGCACTCTTACAGGAATCCAGAGCACAAATACACTTCCACTTGGGGACATTCATGAATAAGCATTTGTCACCGGCAATTAGGACAAATGCCTGACCTGTCACAGATTTGGGGCTAGGTCTGCAGCTAGCAAAAATCGTCTTCATTCCATTTCCACGTCAATAACAGGTTTTCCTTCCCAGCGATTTGAGCGCCTGCAACGCTGATATCACATACAGTGTGGCAACAGAGGGCCTGATCCTGCTGACCATAAGCCATTCTCTACTCCCATATCCATTAAAGTCAGTGAGCTTGCCACTGTGAGCACCAAGAACTCATCACATTAGTTTTGCTGAAACCCAGGCTAAGAGTCAAATCAGCCCACTCCAGGTTTAAAACTGTGTGTTGAATTGGGGCCCTGAAAAAACAGGGGTTCAGCCTTAACCCCTTCTCCTACACCCGTAACACCATCCCAGAAGCAGACGTACTGCAGTCTCCACCTGGATATCCAAAGGCCAGGCACTGAGCCATGGTTACCAAACACCTAACGCCGGCTGCGATAACTCTTTGCCTAAACAAATGTTAGCCAAGCTAGAAATTCTGTTGGGAATCACGCAGGGCCAGGGGAGAGTGGCATTCTACAATACCCTTTTTGATGTCATATCCTGCTTATTTATTTACTTACACCGCTAGTGAGGTGAGGAAGCCCAAGAATGGACCAGGCCCCACTGTGCACTGCAAACACTGCAGTGAAGGGCGATTGCTCACCCAGAGGGCTTACCACTAAAGTAGGGTCCTCCCTAACCAAACAAATGCAGGAAGGATGTTTTCCCCATCACTGCTGTTCTCTCAGCACCCTTCTCAAGTCCATCCACTCACTGACGCTGCATCATACTGCAAGCAGCACAGCTTTTCTCCTGTTGCTGCCAAGAGCTAGGCCACTACACAGAGGGAGAAGGGCACTTAAATCACACCCGCTTTTCTTCTCACAGAAAATCCAGAGTCTGCTTGTTTGCTGTCTACTGAACACAGGGACATCTGACGAGGCTCCTGGCTGCTGCAGAATCACAGCCTGCCTGTCTCCCAGAGGCAGGACTCCCACCTGCCACAGTAGCAGCCCTCTCTGCAGAGCGATGCCAAGGAGGCTGGAGCTGACTGCATATGCAGTCGTTGACTTCTTAGCAAAGTTCTGCACCCAAACTTCTGGCCTGCTGATCTCTGGAAGAAAGCCTCTGTGATTATTAAGTGACAGCCTGAAGTTTCCCATAAAAATTACAGTAATCGTTTCAGTCAAAATGATCTTCCTTCTTCGATTTAGAACCACAGGTGACAAGCACCATTCAATATGGGCCAACAAACTCTCAATCCTCTAAATACCCATATTATGGACCTGCAGCAGCAACCCTCTCTCTCACCAGCATGGGCTGGACTTCACCGCTCCTAGTCAAAGGAGTTCTAGTGCATTGATTTTTCCCTAATATTGTTGCTGCTGGAGTCAAGGAAAACCTTGACAAGCACCCAGCAGCACCTGAGTCAGACCTCCACTGCTGACAGAATACATCAGGCTGCTGAGATTCACCCCACTGCTTGCTGGGCAAAAGAGAGCAAAACATGACTGAGGTTTGGGACGAAAACCACACATGCTTCAATGGGCACTGCTGGTGGCACCTAATGGGGCCAAGCTCTTTTCAGTAGTGCCCAGCGACAGGACAAGGGGCAATGGGCACAAACTGAAGCACAGGAAGTTCCAGCTGAACATGAGGAAGAACTTCTTCTCTCTGAGGGTGACAGAGCCCTGAAACAGGCTGCCCAGAGAGGTTGTGGATTCTCTTTCTCTGGAGATATTCAAGACCCGCCTGGACAAGGTCCTGTGCAGCCTACTGTTAGGTGACCCTGCTTTGGCAGGAGGGTTGGACTAGATGACCCACAGAGGTCCCTTCCAACCCCTACCATTCTGTGATTCTGTAATGGGCAGAGAGCACTGAATAGATAAGAAATTTCAGGGTGGGTGTAGGCAGAAGAACATGCAGAGATCAGTCTTAAAAAGGCATTATAGCAGGGAATGAGAAAAACACATCTCTGGACCTTCTGGGCAGAAGAAGCAGAGAAAAAAATGGGAGTGAAGGCAAATGGGCAAGTGAGGTCTCTGGGTCACATTCCTCTCAAATTTACTAAGAAAGATGCTGGCTGATAATGTTACATTTGAATATAATTCTGTTCTTAGCCATTTTAAGGAGTCTGTGGGTCACTCCAACCAGGTGATAAAATTTCTCAGCTACTGTCCCTGTATCTCATTGCAAGGTGCATGCCATCAGAACTACCTCCAAGAACACTACACTACTTACTAAAACATGCAACAGCCACCGGCATGCGCAAAGCAGAAACCTCCTGCTGCTCAGATGCCCAGCAATTTCTTTCAGAGAAAGTGCTCTAAAGGCACCCCTCAAACACCAAAGCCCCCGCCCAGCTGTAGCATGGACAGGCGGGACAACTGAATGATGTGGTCCTAGAGCTCTGCGCGCAGTCAGAGCAAAAAGATGGAGTTTAAATCACACCTGGCGAATCCCTCCGAGTAACGAGCTTTCACATGTGGACAGAGGGAAGCAGAGGACGGCAGGGTCTGATCCCACACCCCTTCCCTCCCGGCATCCAGAGGCTCCAAAAACACCAGCCAAGAAGACAGCA